TTTTTTTTTTTTTTTTTTTTTTTTTTTTTTTTTTTTCCCCGCCTAGTGGTATACTCACCGCACACTTAGTGTTGACACCAAGGGCTGGAAGAATTGTGTTGCTGTATTCCTTCCTTTCCCATCTCCCTTTACAGGACACTGGATCTTTTCCGTGGAATTCCTTGGCCTGGTTGATACTCCTCTACAGCAGTATTCACCCAATATCCAGTGTTCACTAACTGCATTTTTAGGTTGAAGTGACTAAACCAAAACAGCAATTTTGGTATAGAGAATATTTCTCTCGACTCGGTGAAAAAAAAAAAAGTCTGTGCTATATTAGTTGTAATAGCCTTAGGGGAAAAAGTTGACATTGTAGGCAGATTTTATGCCAAACTTTGATCTCGGTTACACCCCAAAAACCTCACCCTCTTCAGTGGTATTACATTCAGTGGCAGAGGATTTCTACCACTATTCCGTTGTTACTGGGTTTGTTTTGACTTGGATCTATTTTTCGTGCCAGCAGTATGTAATATATTGCAGTAGTAGGAAAAAATGGCCCCATTTCACCATCTGTATTTTTTTGTCTCCTTACGCTGTGACAGTACTTCTTTGATGCGCAGTGGTTGTGTCGAAATAATGAAATGTTTATTGGACACAAAGAAAACTTTTATAATAGCTTCTAACGTTCTTGCCAAACTTAATTATAGAAGGTTTTATTAAGTGTACTATCTCTTACTTTGTTTGAGTGAATTCTTCGGGTGCTTAATCCAGAATTTGTTGTTTGGGAACGAACAGAGCCTGCTTGTTATTTAAAATCAGGCTCTGAAATCTACATTACTTCTTTGTATGCTTTTATCCTATACAGTTATTTGTACAAAAGCTGCGATATTAACAAAACCATTTTTAGGCATGGTTGCTATATAATTTGTTGGTTTTTTTTTTAATTTCACAATTTACTAAAAAGATAATTTCTTTCTAACCAGTATTTCTCACACTTTGTTTCTGCTCATATCTAACAGTAAAGTTTTTTTTATTATACTGGACTCAGAAGATACCAATTGATTGATTTCAGTAAGACTCTTGCTAATCTGCAACCCTCACATTTCTTCCACTTTCTGAAAAAACTCTGAATATGTAAGAACAGAGCAGATTGCCAGGTGATTGGACACTCACTTTTTCTTCAGTATGTATTTTAGAAGTACATAAATAATAATAGTATAAATATTTTTCCGGAGGTACTGAGAAGAAAATGCAAGTTCTGACTTTATGATTAAGCGTCCTCACATATTTTTCACATTTTTAGCATGTTTTTCGACATACAAGAATGTGTAGTATTCTTCTGTTTATTGGAAGAAATTACAGTGAAGATGCTCTATATATGCTCTACTGATAGCTTTGTCAGTTTTTGTTACCTATCTTAGGGGTTTTATTACTGTATGTCAGCAGAAAATGTAAAAGCCTTATTTTGATTTTTGAAGAATTCTTACAGGCTCAAGATTTGCTGAGTCTGACTGCTTATTATTTTAACTACCCATGTGTATGGTGAAGTGAGCATGCAGAAGTCAGATGCTGAGCAAAACCATGTGAGTGTAAATATTGAAAATTGAGTTTGGCCATAGATTGTATTTCCAAGACCCTCAGGCACTAGAAGCTAAGAGGTTTGTAGAAATGGCAAACCTTTAAGAGAGCAGCCTCTATTGCTAACTTCCTTTTTTCTCAGTGCTAAACCATGGAGGAAACTTTTGTCTGCTGTAGAGCAATTTTCTATTGTTGGAAGCACGCTTGAGTGATGACCTTGAATCAAGATTTGTTTAAAATACTTGATCGGTCCATGGCATTACTGACATAACAGAAGGTCCTGAACCCAGAGGCAAAAAGTTGTGATGAGGATGAGAAGGGGAATAGCTAGTTTTGCCTTTTAATAATCTTGGTTTCCTTTCTTATACTGATAAGACTGCTACGAAAATCTTTGAATATGCCTGCTAGGAAGATCTCTGCTTATACCTTTGTATATTGTTAAAGAATTTAATAGAATGGGGTTACCAGTGATTTCTCAATTACATGATTTTTGGAGGAAACAGAACATTCTTTTTGGCCTGCCTACATAATTTGCAAGTACTGATACACTCAAAGTCTTTAACTACATTGCTGTAAGAAAAATTGCTCTTTTGCTTTGAACCAGAATTTTTTCTCTCACAGGAACAAAGGAACAAAAAGTGTTTAAAAGTGTTTTGATGGGTGGAACTTTTCATTACAAAATTTATTTTTTTATTTAAAAAGTATATTTTTAAGAGGAGCAGACATAAAAGTGCAAACATTTTAATTTGGAATAATGTCCATCCAAAATATTACTATGATTTATTTTACTAATTGGTTTTACTCACCTTTTCCCTATTTATCCTAAAGTGAACGTATGTGCATTGATAGTTCACATTTAATTTGATTTTTTTAAAAAAAGAAATAATTTGTCTTGCTGTCCTGCTATTAAGATAGAACACGTCATTGTCTTTTAGTTATGCTAGAGGGTTTAAAAACACATTACTCTGTATTAATACTTACTAACTTATTTCAGGAAAGTGAGCAATTTGATGATTAACTTCAAATGACTACCACTGGTTTTAACAATTTGCTCAAATATTTAAACTACCAGTTTAAATTCTTTGCTAGATCAAGGAACAGGGTTTCCTCCTACGCTTCCAAGGCTGTTCTCAACAGATGGAAGACGTTACTGTCCTTTCTGAGAACTTAAATTGCACATGATTTTATTTGTCTCTTTAGAAACATAATAACCCTTTTTTTTCTTGAGTTATCTCCTCCTCTAACTAAAAAGTTATAGTCTTTTTAATTACTCTGTGTATGCTGTAATGGGCCTCCCTGGCCTATTTTTGTTTTTCAGTCTTTTTGAGATGATGTAATCATCTCTGAATGCAGTACATGGGAGAGGAGGAAATTGCAGTCTACATTTAACAATGTTGCCAAAATTAGAGATTCTTAGAAGGTATATGTAAAATGCATTTATACTGGTATTATAAATCCTTATGCAAAAATAAAATTCACAGATTAGCTAATTTAATCTTTGCACTTGTATAATTTTCAGAAATAACTATTTTTACCATGTACTGATTGCAGAAGGAATGGCGGAGTTGTTTCTCTCTCGATGAGTCTTATTCTATGGTAGATAAGTTATAAAAAAGATCATTCCTTCAATGCTATATGTAAATACCTGAACAAATATGTTCCATCGAATGACAGTCCACTCTCAGATTTGCAGAAGAGAATAAGCGCGTATGATATCATTGAACTAGAGAAACATGCTGGAAAAATATTTTCATTACACTCTGGACCAGCATATCTGGAGGAACATCTTACTGCTCTTGAACAGATTAAGTGACAGATATTGGCCCAGATAAGTATTTATAACTTTTCCTCAGTTTGCAATTGTGAAAGACCAGATTTTCAAGTTTTTTTCTTGGATCTAGAAGGGGGATTGCACCTATATCTGTATGTC